ATGTGACGCCATGCATTGTTATAGTGTCGTCTCGTACCATATGACCCGGACAGATGTTCTGGAGTAGGTATATATTTACACACAGCGGATAGTGTCTTTATTTCTTTGATATGTGGGACGGTTGGGGTAGCCTAGTGGTTAAAGCGTTAAAGACCCGGGTTCGATTCCCCACATGGGTACAATGTATGATGTCCATTTCTGGTGTCCCATGCCATGATATTACTGGAATATTGCTAAGCTAAAAACTTAACTCACTCACTCACTCATAGATATGTCGTCCACAGCTCCATGTTTAATGCAAATGCTGTGATAATGGTATTGTATGGGTGTTCCTACGCTGTCCTTCGTAGTCTGTCTCACAGTCCCTGAACCACATTATTTATCCTACTGCCTAGCTCTCCCTGCAATGCTTAAGCCCAAAATGAAGCAAGTCTAGATTTCCTCAGGTTCTGAATGTCCCTTGTCACTGGGGCTCCATTTTCAATTTAAATGGTTATATTTTTTACAATCAAAATTATATATATTCAGAGACTAAGCGTTAAACTATACCCTACGCTATATGGCTGACACCATGCCGTCATTTGTAACTCTCTCATATTGGCGTAGTTATACTTGACCATACTGACCCGAGGCATGCCGTATTTGACCCAGACAACGCCGTGGAGTAAACAGACTGTCTCACAGTCCCCTAACCGCATTATTTTCCCTTCCCAGCCCTTCCTGGAGTGCTAAACGAAGCAAGTCTATAATAAGTTCTTAATCTCCCATCCCACACGGGCTCCTTTCAGCTGAAAAGGAATGATCTGTTCCTGTCAAACTTATATAGATTCAGATATAAGCTTTAGTCTATGGGTTATAGTCAGTCTCACAATCCCTGAACAATATTATTTCCCCTCTGCTCAGCCCTCTGCAATGTAAAAGATCTGGCCAAAGCAAGTTTAGATTTAACTCCGGTTTTTAAATCCGACCTTGGTGTTCGCTTTCAATGTAAATTATCTATTTTTTATCAAAACTGCATATGAATATCCATATGAATTGTGAGGAGTGCCGGTTACCCCGCGTTCTCTGTCATCGTCAAGATCCTCTCTATAATCAGTTATGATTCTCTACTCGTGAACTGAGGTCACCCCAGATACATAGATGTCCTTTCTTCCGACACAAATCCTCTACATAAAAGAGATTATAGCATACTAAATTGAAAGAGAGTCTCAAGGAAAAGTCGTGTGTTCCGTTGAGTTTGCAGAGGGTAAATTACAAATATACGAAACTGTATGAAACTAAAACTAAAACTGATATATCAAAGATTTTAGTAACTGTGTAACTGATTAAAAAACCTACATCCAGAAAACATCACGAACCCCCCTTATTTCGCTCGTGTACTGATTTTGTGTTATTTACGAACCAAAAAAGGAAATCACGTGAATCTTCACAGGAAAACGTTTCTCAGAAAGTACGCCACAGTCTCTCTGATAAAAAGCAATGGAATTTGTTTCAAGTTTATTATCGTGTTTTAGTGGACCATTCAACAACTTTCCAAGAACCGAGCCACAGTGATTTCTGTCCTTTAGTAGTGTTGACTTGCACAAGTCGCATGTCTTTGAATCGAAAATCGTTACTCTTACCAAGTTCATTGAACGCAAGGTTGAGATTAAGTCCAGCGATCAACTCTTGACTTGTGAGCGCATTATCGATATAAAAACCAAGGAAGTCCAATCTGTTTCTTGTGTTATGGTGTAGTTTTTCTTCCGTTCGGGGGTCTCGTGTTTTCTAAAATAATGCCGGGTTTAGTATTTGACCCTGTCTTCTATTGAGCATGTGTATATTTGTTTCCATTGAAATGACCCGATCTATAAATTGACAGTAATGTCCACGTTTTCTTTCTTCAGGCTGCAAAACACATCCACCCCACACATTATGCATTGCCCCGACTCATAGAAAAATACATCATTTTATTTCAGACCCGTGAAGGTCTGGGTTAGAATTATTCTTCAGTAACCCATGCTTGTCATAAGAGGCGACTAACAGGATCGGGTGTTCAGACTCGCTGACTTGGTGGACACATGTCTCCGTATCCCAATTGCGCCGATCGATGCTTATGCTGTTGATCACTGGATTGTCTGGTCCAGACTCGATTATTTACAGACCGCCGCCATATAGCTGGAATATTGCTGAGTGCGGCGTAAAACTAAACTCACACACTCACTACTATTTAAAAGTACATAATTTAAACAATTCTATTTGTTCATGTAATAATCTTTCTGATAATAGTTTTGATCATATTATCCAGTGTACACGTCTATACGCTGCTTCGTTTAAATAGTACAACTTAAAACATTATACCGACAATAATTGCATGGCACACAAAAGCAGGATTTTTTTTTCTAAAAGTGCGTTCAACATCTTATTGAAAATGAATCACAGTTAAATACCCATTTGGAAATCATATAGACAGTAGCATATGTAAGCCCAAGCGTAAGAAATGCAAACTCGTAAATAATAAGGTTTATTACTTATGTCGATATACTAAGATGAGGATTTCTCTGCTTGAAAGATAACAGCCCATAAACCATTCAGAACTCGAGTGTAGTGAAAATACTCCGCCGTACTAACTAGTCGGGTATGACATGATATAAGGATGAAATTGTCCTTACAAAAGCCATAAACTCGTCAATATTCTACACCGTCAACCCCTCCCTCCCCCAGAAACCGTGACTGTAAGATCAGTCGAGAGGAAAACAATAATGAAACCTACATGAAACGGATTCATTCTTCGATATTAATATTGTATGTGTGTTGCGTAAACAGTGGAAACAATCGGTAAAAAATAGCAAAGGTTTGATGAACAACACGCACAGAACGAGCCATTAATGAATAACACGCAGCACAAAATGTTACATATATGTTATATAAGAGGACATTGTTGCATTGTATCATGTTGGACTACATTCATAGTATAGGAATGCATTGTACTTCTAAAAAATTAAGGATTGCATTGTTAAATGCCAGAAATAGCGTATTCTTGTATACTACAGCATTGAGTTGTTACACATTACTTGTGTTTTCATGTGATCCCTTATTTTTTTCCCTCAGTATACTTCTAAAAATTTAAGGATTGCATTGTTAAATGCCAGAAATAGCGTATTTAAATGACTACGTTGTTTTATAGTCAATAAAGGATAACATTGTTATACAATAAATGACTTTTTTATACACTGAGTTGTTCTACACTTTTGGGTTGTTGTTACATACAACGTATGTCTTTAGGAAGGGACAAGTACACACATTATTTCAGGACATCCAGATTTTATTCAGCAAAATGTGAGCCAATAATGTGTTGCCGAGAACAAATTACTATATTCATTTTTTTTCAATTTTTTTTCCTGAAAAATCAGTGTTTAGTTTAATGAATATACATCGATAACCTTGAACTGTAATGTTAAATAATATATAAATCTGATCTGTTGGCAGTGGGTTGAATATTTTTACTTTGTAAAGTGAGTGAGTGAGTGAGTTTAGTTTTACGCCGCACTCAGCAATATTCCAGCTATATGGCGGCGGTCTGTACATAATCGAGTCTGGACCAGACAACAGCAGGAGCATCGATCTGCGCAATTGGGAACTGATGACGTGTGTCCACCAATCCAGCGAGCCTGACCACCCGATCCCGTTAGTCGCCTCTTACGACAAGCATGGATTACCAAAGGTTCATTCTAACCCGGACCTTCACGGGCTACTTTGTAAAGAGAAAACACACTAATCCACTATCCTTAATAACCGAGGTTATATACGATTTGGTGATCCTGGACTACTGAGCTACGTTACCCTAGGCGATGCGATTTGAAAGATGCGTTGCTCATATTAGCAATCACTGTTTGTTTCTGGACCAGGCTAAATTATTTCGAATAGCTAAATATTCTGGTTATGGTGTTAAGAAACACGAAAATAAACTTTATGTTTATAGGAGTTTTCTTATTGATTGCAGATTCCTATAATGAAAAATAAATTTGGTAAGACGATTTATCATATTCTTAAACAAACATTGCGCAACGTTAGGTGAAACTTTTATAGGACCTTTGTCCACGTTTATCTGTTCCCGTTCGCCTGTTTGTCACAGATTTATATCTGTTTTCATTGATCCAAAGTCCGTGGACTATCGGTCTAAGCTCAACCACACTAAGGAAATATTAGCCTCCTGCCAAAGGTGAGATGAATTATCACAGTTCGACCCCAGATACCTTCGATCTGGCAGCTTTAAAGAGTACCAGCAACGCCTGGAATCATTCCAGGGACATAACTCACTCTCAACGAGGCTAGAGAATGACGACAGGTGCGTGCTCTCCCATCCTGATGCCTGGTACTCGGTTGAGACTACCCAGAAGTCCAGCACTTCAACCAATGTTTGCCGTCGTCTACAAAGAGCTCTTCAACACTCATGTCATTTTTCATAACGTTATGATAGGTCATTGTGTACACCAAGATTGCCTCTCGGGACACAAACCCGACAATGATTCGTCATCCAGCGACTGTTAAGGGTAGGTGAGGGTGACATTAAACACCGTTAATAAAACAATAGGTTTAATGTACAACAGCGTCTCAAGGAAGTATTGGTCTGTGGTGCTGCCCCACAGCAGGCATGTCGGATGTGTTGGGGCCAAGACGTCCTAAGAACATTTGTGATGTATGTTTTCAGATGAAGATAATGCGTTATGAAAGAGGTAGATTTTCCTGGATTAAACCGCTGTAAGTGACGATATCAAGACCAAGTCTTTTCTACATGTGCAGACAAAGGAAGTGGTAACTGTCAATACGGTAGGAAAGGACATTATCAGCTGTTCTGATCTGGTCGTATTTTGCAGTGAAGCTCAAGATCGGCATTTTACAGAATTGTAACATCGGAAATGTAAACTGATTGGCAAAGTTGACCAAGGACAAGATTGGTGCAAAATGCCCCTGGGCATTATTATTTTGTCTGTCCTTAAGTAACGGCACCACCCACGACAATGGTGTGTATACCGCCTCGCGACGTCAACGTGAGCGGAATCCTTTATCCCAACACGCCTAAGGTATTGCCGACGTGGGAGATTGTTGTAAAGTGTTCCGTCTGTGGATGTGTGGAACTTATGGCTTTCGTTGGGAACATTCTTGTAATCGCCATCGTTGCCCAGTCACGGAAGATGCGGACGACTACCAACTTCTACATCACCAACCTCGCTATCTCCGACCTTTTTGTGGCATGCATCCCCTTCTGGATACACCTTGTAAACGACGTCACCGACGGATGGTTCCTGGGAGAATTTCTCTGCAAGTTTAACGCTTTCGTACAAAGTGAGGAATATTGATAGAGTGCTCTATATCTCATATATACAAAAGTGGTGGTTTAGGAGTCCTGGCACAATGCATGTTCTGCATACATTTCACCTGCATGTATGGAGAAAAGATATTTTCATACATCCATAAAACCTCTATTTGAAAGTTCGTCTTTATGTCAATAAATATCTGATATATGTTCAGCACATTTGGCGATAATTTGTGATTCAGTTCTTAAATATTTGTTTATGAAACAACATGAAATATCTTCAAATGATCATTTGTTTCTACCTGCAGATGCAAAACTGTAAGATGTTTTTCAACCCTTGTTTACAAACGCAAACCTTCTGTTTTAACTGACATATTCATATAATGTTTACTTAACAAACGTATTGTCACATTTTCCTCATGAAAAGCTTTGAGTCATATATGATGTTGCTAGAATCACAGGTTGTCCGAGATAAGGGGAGTTGAAAGTATACTCATGCCAATAATGGTTGTCACCCCTTCAATTTTTTTTATTCGAGAGGGTGTGGGGTGTGTGGGTGTGTGTGGGTGGGGGTGGGTGGGGTTGGGTTGGGGGTGGGGAAGGGGGTGACAACCATTATTGGCATGAGTATATTTTAACTGTTAATTAGACAGTCTCCCCTATACCGAGGCATTTTCTAATTTTAATTATTTGCTGCGTTTATTCTCCAGCATCTTGGTCCAAACTTGAACACGTTCTACTTCAATGTTATATTATATGCCCCATCACTACTTAATATTATTCATCATTATACCCACCTGAGGTGCTATTTTCTCAGATTGTGATGATCTAAAGTAATAATATCCACCAATACGATGATGTACCTTGTCATTATTCACCATTTTACTGATCTATGCTCATCCATTTTAAAGATGAATGCTTTTGACGTACTGTGCTATTGTTCAGCATTATAATGATCCACCTTGCTATTGTTCACAATTATAATGATGTATCATTTTATGATGCACATTGATAATGATTCAACATGCTACGGTCCTCCATTACAATGACTTACTGTGCTCGTAATGACCAGCCTTGCTTACACTCAAAAGTATTATAATTCACCAATATGATGATCTACCAATGAACTAATATGCCACGCTCCACCGTTACAATGATTTAACATGCTATGCTCCACTATTACATTGAACTGAAGGGTTATTATCCAATTAGTGTTATTAATGGACCAGTGGCTTATGCTCCGTGCTTATAATGATTTAATGTACCATATCCACCGTTATAATCATCCAACGTCCTACCTCACCACAATGACGTTTGCTTTTCCATTATAGCGATCTAACGTCCTATCTCCACCCCATTAACGATCTAACGCCGTTTGCGTCTCCTTTACAATGATCTAACGTCCTACCGCCACAACAATAAGGATCTAACAACGTTTCTTCTCCGCCATATTGATCTAACGTTCTACCTCAACCCCATAAACGCTCTAACGCCCTTTTCTTCTGCTTTATATTGATCTAACGTTCTACCTGTACCCCATTAACCATTTAACGCCGTTTTCTTCTAGGTTATAATGATCTAACGTCCTAACTCCACCACAATAACGATCTAACGTCGTTTTCTTCTCCGTTATAATGATCAAATGTCCTACGTGGTGGCGATGGGAGCGAGAGGTCTTGGATGGGTGACCGTGTGTGACAGCTTGATTCCTGAGGGCTTCCAGGACTTCAGTCCTGCCCCACAACGAAACACATGTGATACATATGATCTCACCTTAGGCAAGTGAGTTCAAAATTGCCTCTCCGGTACCCGGTGAAATAAGTCGTGAGACTACTAACCCTCCAGCGCCTAACAGGCAGCTTGGGTTATCCGGCGTAATAAAGATCAGATTGTGCGCTCTGAGCAGGATATCTAGCCTGGAAAAGGCGCGTTATAAATATTCTCTTTATTCTCATTATTATTACCTCCACCACAATAACGGCCTGACGCCGTTTGTTTCTCCGCTGTAATGATCTAACGTCCTACCTCCACCACAATAACGATCTCACGCCGTTTGCTTCTCCGTTGTAATGATCTAACGTCCTACCTCCACCACAATAACGATCTGACGCCGTTTGTTTCTCCTTTGTAATGATCTAACGTCCTACGTCCACCACAAATAAAGATGATCACAAAAACGATCTGACGCCGTTTTAAATATTCTTCCGTTGTAATGATCTAACGTCCTACCTCCACCACAATAACGATCTGACGCCGTTTGTTTCTCCGTTGTAATGATCTAACGATCCACCACAAATAACGATCTGATCTCACGCAAGTGAGTTCAAAATTGCCTCTCCGGTACCCGGTTTCTCTACGTTGTAATGATCTAACGTCCTACCCCACCACAAATAACGATCTGACGCCGTTTGTTTTCTCGGTGATCTAACGTCCTACCGTCCTCCACCACAAATAAAGATCAGGATATCTAGCCTGGAAAAGGCGCGTTTGCTTTCGTTTCTGTTGTAATGATCTAACGTCCTACCTCCACCACAAATAACGATCTAACGCCGATTTCTTCTTTCTCTGTTGTAATGATCTAACGTCCTACCTCCACCACAAATAACGATCTAATGCCGTTTGCTTCTCTGTTGTAATGATCTAACGTCCTACCTCCACCACAACAACGATCTAATGCCGTTTGCTTCTCCGTTGTAATGATCTAACGTCCTACCTCCACCACAACAACGATCTAATGCCGTTTGTTTCTCCGTTGTAATGATCTAACGTCCTACCTCCATCACAACAACGATCTAATGCCGCTTCGCGTTGTAATGATTCTAACGTCCTACCTCCACAAATAACGATCTAATGCCGTTTGCTTCGCTGTTGTAATGATCTAACGTCCTTCCTCCATCACAACAACGATCTAATGCCGTTTGTTTCTCCGTTGTAATGATCTAATGTCCTACCTCCACCACAAATAAAGATCTAATGCCGTTTGCTTCTCTGTTGTAATGATCTAACGTCCTACGTCCACCACAAATAAAGATCTAATGCCGTTTGCTTCCGTTGTAATGATCTAACGTCCTACCTCCACCACAAATAACGATCTAATGCCGTTTGCTTCTCTGTTGTAATGATCTAACGTCCCACCTCCATCACAACAACGATCTGATGCCGTTTGCTTCTCCGTTGTAATGATCTAACGTCCTACCTCCACCACAACAACGATCTAATGCCGTTTGCTTCTCCGTTGTAATGATCTAACGTCCTACCTCCACCACAACAACAACGATGCCTAATGCGTTTGCTTCTGTTGTAATGATCTAACGTCCTACCTCCACCACCACAACAACGATCTAATGCCGTTTGCTTCTCCGTTGTAATGATCTAACGTCCTACCTCCACCACAATAACGATCTAATGCCGTTTGCTTCCGTTGTAATGATCTAACGTCCTACCTCCACCACAAATAACGATCTAATGCCGTTTGCTTCGCTGTTGTAATGATCTAACGTCCTTCCTCCACCACAACAACGATCTAATGCCGTTTGCTTCTCCGGTTGTAATGATCTAACGTCCTACCTCCACCACAAATAAAGATCTAATGCCGTTTGCTTCTCTGTTGTAATGATCTAACGTCCTACCTCCACCACAAATAAAGATCTAATGCCGTTTGCTTCTGTTGTAATGATCTAACGTCCTACCTCCACCACAAATAACGATCTAATGCCGTTTGCTTCTCTGTTGTAATGATCTAACGTCCTACCTCCACCACAAATAACGATCTAATGCCGTTTGCTTCTCCGTTGTAATGATCTAACGTCCTACCTCCATCACAACAACGATCTAATGCCGTTTGCTTCTCCGTTGTAATGATCTAACGTCCTACCTCCACCACAACAACGATCTAATGCCGTTTGCTTCCGTTGTAATGATCTAACGTCCTACCTCCACCACAAATAACGATCTAATGCCGTTTGCTTCTCCGTTGTAATGATCTAACGTCCTACCTCCATCACAACAACGATCTAATGCCGTTTGCTTCTCCGTTGTAATGATCTAACGTCCTACCTCCACCACAAATAACGATCTAATGCCGTTTGCTTCTCCCTTGTAAATGATCTACGATTCAACCTTAATCATTTACAGTGGCCGATGTGCGTAACAGTGCTAGTGTGTCCACCAATGTTAGAAGCTGTATTCAACATTCTGTTAAAAAATTGAGTTTTTTGAGAGGTGGATTGTCATTGCACTTTGGGTAGTTTTTAAACATTATTTTCGGATCCAACAGTTAATTCAAACAGTTAGGTTAATTTCAACTTGTCGTGTATCAGTTTCTGGTTTAAATGTGGCAAAGCATTTGTTTCATATCACACCGTATTAACCATGCCCCTGGCAAGCATCCTACTCGCACGCCAACACAGACCTTAGAGGCATTGTCAAAAAAAAAGTTAATTTCGCTTACTTTTTTACCGCTGTCAATTGAACAGGGCAATAACTGTGTTCACTGTTATAACTTCCGAATACGATTTTCGTGAGTTAAAATCAATGTAAACTGAGACTGTAAATGGATTTTTAACCCACGCCTTTCACCCAAGGCTGGTTTTCAGAAAGCTGGATGCAAGGCACACAGCTAAATGTGGTTTTGTGTGCGTTTTAACCACGGACAAGTACTCAGTGAAACACCAGCGATATGACGCCGTAGATACATGCTGTGGTTTCTGGACCGTATAAACCAGTGATCGTGAATATTAATATTCAACTTCCAGAGAATCAACACCCAATATATTTACGCACATTTAAATGACAAGCATATTGATACTTTGACTTTTACTATCCCGGAGGGCACGGGTGACCAAGCGGTCTGAGAGCGGGTAGGAGGGTGGTGGTGTTAGCTCAACGCGGCGTAAACCCCATCTCACTCACTTATGCTACATGTTTGACATTACTAAAGTATCTGAAACAGTAATCCCATTTAGTTAGTTTGGTAAGCTAAATCCTTCAAGCTTGTACAACATATACATGTCACATTTAATACAACTGGATATAGTAAATTATTATTTTTACTTAACCAGTCAAACTATTTTGTCCTATGATGGTCGATACATCCTTATTTCCGATCTATTTCCACTAAATCCACATGTGGCACAGGTCACAAACTCATGCAAAGCAATTATTCACCTGAAAACTCTCGGTAAAGAATATAGATGTGAAGGAACGACTTCCTTTATGTTCATAAAATATTTCAGACACGTGGAATTAATGCCATGATCAAGGATTTAAAGAAACGATCAAATATGTCAACACTTTTGATTTTTTAACTTGTTCACCACTATCTCACTTAAGGAAAAGAATTTGTTCCTTGTTTAACAGGACATGTTTTCCCTTTTAGGTGTTCCCTTACTTTTTAGCATGAGCATGTACGAAGTGATTCATCATTTACTCAAACGTCGACTCCGCACGTGTACACCACAAATGAAGTTATATATCTACACCTACATGTAGCCTTGTATCGCCGTCAGCAAAAGGTCAAGTGTCCTTTTTTCCGTTATATCAGTGCAGCCAACCAATACTATCGTATAATTAATCAAAATGTGACAAAAAAGAAATCAAATCCGCTTGACTGAATTTGATATAAGACTTTATCTCTTTCAATGGTAATTCAGCTTTTTAAAATATTCATCAGACAGATATCGGTCATGTTTGTTTCAGACTTATGTTTCACAATTATTTGCAGTTGAACTGACAAAGCCATTTCGCAATCACAAGATCTCTGCCCAAAGCTTCTATCATGAATCATTATCAAATAGTGCTGAGGGTTTCCTGCACCAGAGGTGTCATCACATTCAAGGGCAAGCCCTTCACTAACGAGCCTAAACATGAAATTGCACCTAAAATATACACCAAGAAGCCCCAAATGTTGTAACCCCGACAGAACCTCCGAGCAAATCTCTTGAAATCCGCGAAGAAAGAGTATGCTCGACCGCACAGCAAAAGCCGCGAAACGAAGACACCAAAGTCGGAATATACCGGGACATCACCTCCTTCCCTCCCTCTCTTCGTAAATAAGTTATAATCAAACCTATTCAAACAGTGTGAAATTTACAAAAAAGAAAACTATTTTCGCCACTGCATACATCCTCCAGGCAAAACAAGATAAGAGGAGGAAAAATACGTTTGCGTTGACTAACTTCCACTGTGTTAACCAACCAACAAACAAACAAACAAACATCAACTTTGCGGTATTGGACGTTGTATTACAGACAAATGAAATGACCTTCAGCTTCTAGGTTGCCGTTCTTGTCAATTGTTACTCAACAAATATTAATTCCAGGGCACTCAAATAAACTATCGAGATATACGTTAGGGCCAATCGGAGTGCACATGACCATTCTGGTGGTACCATAGATTTACATTGTAAAACGTTCAAGACGGAATATCGAATTGATGCAGTTCTCGTTAACAATACGTCTCACAATATCGTGGAGAACAAGAATGTTTGATTTACACCCTTTCCATAATGAAACATACTTTCTTCTAAAACAATGCATTGTACGACAATGTGTTTATGAATCATTATCAAACAGTAGTGTTCGCCAAAAGTTCAGGTATCATTCCTCAATGTCGTATCCCGTTACAATTACGTGTTTTAAACGTGAAGGAAGGAAAACAGGAACATCTCAATGAAAGAAACTTTCGTTTAATTGACATGGATATTTATCTATGTGACAGGCATATGAATAGCTCTCAGAAAGTTTCGGTGTTTTAGAGATTATTTCAGATTTCGAAGCTTGGTGAATGTGGAACTTCGTCAACTATCCTTACAACTGTTATTAATTTATGTAGTTACACACCATTAGGCAGGCGCTGCCACTAGGTCTGCTTGTCCGATCTCGGTGAATAGCTACGCTTGAAAATTCGTTTCTGCGAGACAATTTGTATGGGTAAATAGCGGAGTCACGATTCATCCTTAGTGTCACCGATCTGTGCTAGAGAGATTAGGGTGTGATTAAATAAGAATCTAAGTGAAAATCAATGTTTCTAAAACATCTTAAATGCATTGATAGGCTTGTCTACTTATATGAGATGACATAAGTGTATATCAACACAATCCATGATGAAAGTTTTCTATGAAACTGTTTGTGAATATAATTTATAGTCAACAAATTCTCCAATGAAGCCCAAATAACTATCAAGATGCTGAACTGTACCGAAGAGTGCCGAGCTGGGCTGACCGTCGGAGAGATGAGCTCGGAAGACGCTTCTGTAGGTCCATTAACATGGACATGATAACATGTTATCAATCATAGAATTGTCTGGCCCAGACTCAATCGATTAAGACAACCGTCAAACAGTCTGAATAGTGCTAAGCACTAGGTTAAGCTCTCGCACGCTAGCCACACCGAAGGCACTTCGGCACAGGGATATGTAAAACCTTTTCTTGAGTTCTTGTCAGCGTTATTGCTGGAAAAGCAGCGTGAAACCAAGTTTACTCATTCACTTCTCATTTGACATGTTGATAACGCTGGTGAATAACCAATCATAAGCTCCATTTGGCGTAAAAGGTAAAATAGAACGGATCACTGAAAATCAGGTATTCGAGAAAATGGTAAGCATACTCTGCTTGAAAAGACTTGAAAAGTAAACGATTAACACAAATGTTTCATTCTCTGAATGTAGATAAGAGTGTATCAATGCACTGATATTACATTACATTACATTACATACTAACATTTGTATAGCGCCGATATCCAGCTCAGCTCAGCTGCTCAAAGGCGCTTAGTTTTTCCCTCGTTCACTGGATGTCAATCTCAACGGCACATCGTATTGTCAACCTCAACTCCCTGGGGAGCATACAACTCTTGCAGCCACTAGGCGCACCGAGTTATTGTGGCATTCCCATCCTTACGAGGTACCCATTCACAGCAGGGTGGACTGGGACACATAGTCACAGTACTTTGTCCAAGTTTTACTGCACGTTGCTGTACCCGCAACTAGGTGTTTGCACGTTTTCATGTGGCCACCATCTGGTCATATACCAACGGATTCGTGGGTTCTTTTAAGTGCACAGGGTTGTGTACTGTACACTAGGGGTTGTGACAACACTGAAAGAGTCTGCACACAAAGTTGACTCCAAGGTTTTTACACCCGGTCACAGGTGGGCTCGATCCCGTCACCTCAAGCTCGCTGGATCACTAGCCTGGTGCTTTAGCCAGCTCGCCCACCGCGCCCCCATATTAACTATTGGCATTGTAACTCGTCACAGATTTAAGTGACTGATTAGGTAAGGAATCTATCATAATGGTTTTTAACCCGCTTCTTGTACTTTACAATAAATACCCGCAGGGGAACACCTGTGTGGGGTGTGGGTGGGATGTGGACCGTGGTGTGTGGGGTGTGGACCGTGGAGCGTGGGTCTGGGTGTGGAGCGTGGAGGGTGGAATGTGGAGCGTCGGCCGTGGTGTGTGGGCCGTGGAGGGTGGGTGTGCAGCGTGGGGTGTGGAATGTGGGGTGTGGAGCGTGGGGCTGGAGTGTGGAGAGCGGAATGTGGAGTGTGGACCTTGGAGAGTGGGTATGGAGGGTGTGGGTGTGGAATGTGGAGCGTGTGTCTGGGTGTGGAGCGTGGAGGGTGGAATGTGGAGCGTGGGCCGTGGTGTGTGGGCCGTGGAGGGTGGGCGTGGGGTGTGGGATGTGGAATGTGGGGTGTGGAGCGTGGGGCTGGAGTGTGGAGAGCGGAATGTGGAGTGTGGACATTGGAGAGTGGGTGTGGGGTGTGGGTGTGGAATGTGGGGTGTGGAGTATGGGCAATGAGTGTGGGTGTGGAGAGGGGGTGTGGAGTGTGGGGTGCGGAGCGTGGGTGTGGAGCATGGATCTGGGTGTGGGTCTGGTTGTAGAGAGTGGGTGTGGAGTGTGGGGCGTGGGTGTTTTGAATGTGGGCCGTGGAGCGTGGGTGTGGAGTGTGGGGCGTGGATCGTGAGCGTGGGGCGTGGAGCGTGGGTGTGGAGCGTGGGGCGTGGAGCGTGGGTTTGGAGGGTGGGCCGTGGAGAGTGGGTGTGGAGTGTGGGGTGCGGAGCGTGGGTGTGGAGCGTGGGTCTGGGTGTGGAGCTCGGAATGTGTAGCGTGGGCCGTGGAGTGTGAGTCTGGTTGTAGAGAGTGGGTGTGGAGTGTGGGGCGTGGAGCGTGGGTGTTGAGTGTGGGCCGTGGAGCGTGGGGCGTGGAGCCTGGGTGTGGAGTGTGGGGCGTGGATCGTGAGTGTGGGGCGTGGATCGTGGGTGTGGAGCGTGGGGCGTGGAGCGTGGGTTTGGAGGGTGGGCCGTGGAGAGCGGGCGTGGAGTGTGGTGCGTGGAGCTTGGGTGTGAAGCGTGGGTGTGGAGTATGGGCGTGGAGTGTGGTGTGTGGGATGTGTGTTTGGGGGGGGTGTGTGTGGGGGTGTGTGGGCCTGGAGTGTGAATGTGTGTGTCGGGCGTGTGGTGTGTGTGTGGTGTGGGTCTGGAGTGTGTGGTGTTAATATACAAAGATAACAATACATAAGAATAAAAAAATAAGTTGTTATCCATAAAATGTGTCATGTATTCATATTCGTCCAACGATATTATTTGTCTCCTCCAGTCACAGCCATGTGTGCGAGCGTCTTCACTCTTATGGCCATCGCAGGGGATCGCTTCTTCGCCATCATTTTTCCACTGAAGTCTCGCGTGACACAACGGAAGGTCAGCGTGGTGATCGTTCTGGTCTGGTTGTCCTCAGCTGCTATCGGCATACCGTCACTGCTAGTGTACACGTATAACGAGCGGCGCTGGAAGAACCACCTTGAGAGGTTCTGTACCGACGTCTGGCCAGTGCAGGTGACTTCCGACGGCGTCTGTGACAACGGTTTAACCTCGAAGCGAGCCTACTGGACCCTTGTGGTGGTCGTGCTCAACTGGGTGCCTATGATCGTCATGACAATAGCCTACACAGTCATTGTCCTCAAGCTCCGATTTAACAGGATTGTCCCCAGTTCAGGAGAGCTCTCCTTGACCGCCATTCAGCAAAGGTCGAAGAGAAAGGTATAATAGACATGAAGTTCTAACACTGTCATTAAAACGTAGGATCGCATAAATTTGTGAGCATTTGAATATTTCATTACTTTGAGTTCAATAATCAATTTACATACGCGAAATATGTATTTCACTATACTTTAATATTCCTTTAATTGATTTATAACCCTGGGGCCTATTTCACTTCACACACATTTGCTTCATTCATTCATTCCTTCAAATTAAACATTCATTTCTTCAAACATTTATTTATTTATTTATTTATTTATTTGTTTGTTTGTTTGTTTATATGTATATTTAATACCACAAATTTACTGTAAATACATCTTTAATCCGGAACTCAACGATTTGATCTTTTATTTTTCCAGGATCTGTTAGCTAACACGCTAATTGAAATGCTGCTGACTATAAACGTCATTAAGCCCATCCGTCACACTCGCGTGTATAATACGAAGCCCTAATGTGGTGAAGATAAGTAGTGTAATATAATCATGCCAGTCCTAATCACTATCTCCTGCCTTCTGTGTACAGGTTGTGAAGATGCTGTTCTCAGTCCTGATCGTCTTTATGGTGTGCACGATTCCCTTCCAAGTCTCCAAGCTGTTTGAGCTGTACAGAGAGGACCAAGAGGAGAGGGTAGGTCATGTTGTCACGCTGTCGTGTCATCATTTTGTGTAGTCATGCTGTGATGTAACGGTGTCACACTTCCATAGTAACCTTTTATGCTGACACGCCGTCATTCTGCTTTGCTATCATGTTATGCTGTTACACTTCCTTGTGTATTTCCTGTCACTTTCTCATGTCATGTTGTCGTGCTGTGTCACACTATCACATAATCATATTATGTGGTCATACTGTGATGTTACGGTGTCAGGTTATGCGGTCATACTGTGGTGTTACGGTATCATGTTATGTGATCATACTGTGATGTTACGGTATCATGTTATGCGATCATACTGTGATGTTACGGTGTAATGTTATAAGGTCATACTGTGGGGTTACGGTATCCTGTTATGTGGTCATGCTGTGGTGTTACGGTGTCATGTTATGTGGTCATACTGTGATGTTACTGTGTCATGTTATATGGTCATACTGTGGTGTTACGGTATCTGTTATGTGGTCATACTGTGATGTTACGGTGTCATGTTATGTGGTCATACTGTGATGTCACGTTGTCATGCTGTGTCACACTATCACATAATCATGTTATGTGGTCATACTGTGGTGTTACGGTGTCATGTTATGTGATCATACTGTGATGTTACGGTATCATGTTATGCGATCATACTGTGATGTTACGGTATAATGTTATGTGGTCATACTGTGATGTTACGGTGTCATGTTATGTGGTCATACTGTGATGTCACGTTGTCATGTCATGTTGTCATGCTGTGTCACACTATCACATAATCATGTTATGTGGTCATACTGTGGTATTACGGTCACATGTTATGTGATCATACTGTGATGTAACGGTGTCATGTTATGTGGTCATACTGTGATGTTACGGTATCATGTTATGTGGTCATGCTGTGGTGTTACGGTGTCATGTTATGTGGTCATACTGTGATGTTACGGTGTCATGTTATGTGGTCATACAGTGGTGTTACGGTATCATGTTATGTGGTCATACTGTGATGTTACGGTGTCATGTTATGTGGTCATACTGTGATGTCACGTTGTCATGTCATGTGGTCATGCTGTGTCGCACTATCACATAATCATGTTATGTGGTCATACTGTGATGTTACGGTATCATGTTATGCGGTCATACTGTGATGTTACGGTGTCATGTTATGCAGTCATACTGTGGTGTTACGGTATCATGTTATGTGGTCATACTGTGGTGTTACGGCATCATGTTATGTGGTCAAACTGTGGTGTTACGGTCTCATGTTATGCAGTCATGCTGTGGTGTTATGGTGTCGTGTTATGTGGTCATACTGTGGTGTTACGGTGTCGTGTTATGTGGCGATACTGTGGTGTTACGGTCTTATGCTATGCGGTCATACTGTGGTGTTATGGTATCATGTTATGCGGTCATGCTATGGTGTTACGGTGTCATGTTATGTGGTCATACTGTGATGTCACGTTGTCATGTCATGTTGTCATGCTGTGTCACACTATCACATAATCATGTTATGTGGTCATACTGTGGTATTACGGTCACATGTTATGTGATCATACTGTGATGTAACGGTGTCATGTTATGTGGTCATACTGTGATGTTACGGTATCATGTTATGTGGTCATGCTGTGGTGTTACGGTGTCATGTTATGTGGTCATACTGTGATGTTACGGTGTCATGTTATGTGGTCATACAGTGGTGTTACGGTATCATGTTATGTGGTCATACTGTGATGTTACGGTGTCATGTTATGTGGTCATACTGTGATGTCACGTTGTCATGTCATGTGGTCATGCTGTGTCGCACTATCACATAATCATGTTATGTGGTCATACTGTGATGTTACGGTATCATGTTATGCGGTCATACTGTGATGTTACGGTGTCATGTTATGCAGTCATACTGTGGTGTTACGGTATCATGTTATGTGGTCATACTGTGGTGTTACGGCATCATGTTATGTGGTCAAACTGTGGTGTTACGGTCTCATGTTATGCAGTCATGCTGTGGTGTTATGGTGTCGTGTTATGTGGTCATACTGTGGTGTTACGGTGTCGTGTTATGTGGCGATACTGTGGTGTTACGGTCTTATGCTATGCGGTCATACTGTGGTGTTATGGTATCATGTTATGCGGTCATGCTATGGTGTTACGGTATCATGTTATGTGGTCATACTGTGGTGTTACGGTTTCATGTTATGCGATCATACTGTGGTATTACGGTATCATGTTATGTGGTCGTACTGTGGTGTTACGGTTTCATGTTATGCGGTCATACTGTGGTATTATGGTGTCATGTTATGTGGTCATACTGTGATGTTACGGTATCATGTTATGTGGTCATACTGTGATGTTACGGTATCATGTAATGTTGTCATTCTGTGGTGTTACGGTATCATGTTATGTGGTCATACTGTGATGTTACGGTGTCATGTTATGCAGTCATGCTGTGATGTATGACGTTATACTCGCTGCCATGTAATAATGTTATGCTGTCAGCACCTTACTTGTGTTTGTGGGCTTTATTACGGTATCATCAAAATCCTCTGTACCAGTTTTGAATTTGTTGCCGCTTTGAACTGTTGGTGAATTACACCACCAGGTGTGATAGGAAATGACGTTTACTGTTTGCTGAACCCCACAAACACATAGGCATGGTGCTGAACTCTGAGACTGAGATTCGAACCAGTCATCATAGGAGCCATAGGCGGATGGGCTGCGAGTGAGTGAGTGAGTGAGTGAGTGAGTGAGTGAGTGAGTGAGCTGAACAGTATTTTTGTTGTGCCCTGACGTGTCAGCTTAGTAATATGGGAGCAAAACCTAAAGCGATTACACTTTGGGAAACCCAAGGAGTACAGTTAAGGAGCTGTCACGTACTGAGATATCGGGGCGAACTGGGATTCGAACCACAATCAGGGAATGTACCTCGGACCACTGCACCACTCGGGAACATGAACAGTGTATCATGTATCTCTTTTTCACAATCAAAAGTGAAAAATATGCAAATATGTTACCAAACTAAAACATTAAAACAGGTGCCGGTTCGCATCAAATGTTACAGGTGTACCTTTGGCTTGGGTTGTTTCTGCCAGTATTGTTCAGGAAACAACACTTATTGGATTCTCGAGAGCGTCATGGAAATACCCATTGTACTGAGTAACCTCCAACACTAAAACTGTTCATTCGATACAACCATGAAGTGTTTATTCGTGTCCGGATTGACACAAGGTACAAAGGGGGGCATAAAGGGCTCCACAAATCCGTTTATATTTTTCTTCTCAAGCATGTGGGTGATTAACATTTCACTGACGTTGGTCCAGATAACGACGTCTTCCGCAGGTAAATATCAAGCCCTGCGTTCTTTTCTTATCTTTTATGCGTCAGGCAATAAATATATCTGGCCGTATTGACAAACGGCTTCTGCACATGGTTGCTCGGTGTGTTTCACAACCAACGAAAGCGGCTCATTCGTCTCGTGAATTTAATTACATTTATGTTTCAGGGTATTTTTCACAACACACCAACGGTTGTACATTACAATGCCGGTATACGATACACCAAGATGACAATTTAAAGGCACTATTTCACACTACACTTTTCTAAAAATAAATGAATTTCTCTCAATAATACTGTCAGCCCTTGGGGAAACTACCATATTATTTATTGCAAAATGAAACTACGTATTTAGATTACAAAATTTAATCAAAACGTTCGAATGAATTAATGCAACGTTGCACTAAATCGTTCTCTCTTCCCACTGAACATTATTTCAAGCGAACCCCATAGAGTTATGTTCTTTGCGAATATCCTATAACTCCTTAGGATACAGAACTCCGTCCAAGACAAAATGACACTTATGTCTGGTGCAAACACGTAAGCGCAACTTGTGATTGAAACCAGTTCGGCAAACACCGACAACACCGCGTGCGACAGTTTTCGATCTACGGAACAATTGTTTGCATTCCATATATGGCAAGTGTTCTCTGTTTGGAAGCTGTTAGCCTTGAAGTTTCAGTTATCGATTTTAAGTCGTAAGGGATAATATGTCTTTTATTGCATCAATAGGAAGCTAAAGTGAGCATATAATATAGGCCAAAATATTGTCGAAATGTTTTGAAATTGTGCCTTTAACATGTAACCATTGAACATTTTCTGAGGATTGTTAGGAGCTGAACAGTAAAACTTGATACGTTTTTTAAATTTTGATGATTTTAGAACATAACCTTCACCCACATGTTAGGTAAAAATATTTAAAGAGTATTTTTCAGGTTTAAAAGTTGTTATGACTATACAAAATGCAATTAACATTTGAACTGTTACTATTATATTGCTAAAGACTGTGTTAAAGGAAGCAGTGAGTGAGTGAGTTTGGTTTTACGCCGCTTTTAGCAATATTCCAGCAACATCACGGCGGGGGACACCAGAAATGGGCTTCACACATTGTACCATGTGGGGAATCGAACCCGAGTCTTCGGCGTGACGAGCCAAAGCTTTAACCACTAGGCTACCCCACCGCCCCAAGACATAAGAAGTATTTTATCACATTATTACCATTAACTAAACAGCAATTCTTCAAAGGCATTTAGAAGTTGGTGTAGTAATACAAGACAAATCTGATGGATAACAACTTCTTGGTTTATTTTTCCGCAACGTTTCTGGGCTAGTTCTTGCCCCTTCTTCAGGTGAATAACGGTGAGAGTGAACAGTACAGTATAAATATAGATGTACAAGGAAGCCAGATATGTAAATTGAGTATATACAAGGGAAAGAGGAGGTGTAATTAAGTATGTACAAACAATGCAGTGAGATCAAAGAGCAGAATACAATGATAGGGTATGTATTTACAATAGGGGCAAGGGTGTGTTTACATAGCGGAGTGGTTAAAGCAGATAGAGTTTGAGAGTCTATGATTTCTGGGTGATGAACCAGGCGCTGGGGAGGTAAACCCCTTGATCTCTGTTGATCTCGGGCACTGATCTTCTTATGTTGATTGACTCACACAGTTTTCTTTTGCGCCAATTGCTGATGTTGGAAGCCAGGATTTCGGTGTGTTGCCAGTTGATAGAGTGGTTGGGATTGTCAACGATGTGTTCTGAGAGGGTAGATTTGAGATCAGATTTTCCAACTGAAGTTTTATGTTCTTTTAGTCTTATGTTGAAGGGCCGAACAGCAGGACAGAAGTAAGTGTTATACATTAAAAAGGTGGTTTTGTCATATTATCATATGTTTGATTTTTAGATGAATTTATCATAGCTATATTTTATACAAGAAATAAACTTTAGCGACGCAGAGTCAGCACTCAAATAATACTCCTGCATGACTTCATGCTTTTAACACATTATAAATTTAGGTTTAACACATTATCTTTTTAAATCAATTTGCCTTTCGGGCACACTTTTGCATCATTTCACTCATGGCAGGGGTCATGTGGTGGCCAATTCATTTCCGATCCCAGTCTTCATTGAGCCAATTACTTTTTACACCAAATTATCCAGTCTCAGATTACGTTTCACAATCCGTTGCAGGAATGAGTGATGGTTGAAAAGACCTAATACATTTTACAACGGTTCTTTCAACTGTCGGCTACATAGAGAAAAAACCCCGTTAAACTTGATTTTGCCAAGCAGTTTATATTCAGTGACCAGTGTGTATGTGCACAGACCTTTTTCCATTAAGAAAGGTATTAATTCCAAATTTCCTCACACAGTAACTGAAATAATGTTGTTCAAAGAGGCGCTAATCAAACTCAACTAAACAATAGATCATTGTTTTGTTTGGCCCAGTCACGAATATTCATAGTCTCCAAGGACACAAGATTTCCATGGCAACATTCTTCACTGAATTGTTATTCTTTTCCGGATCTTTTATTCCTGGTAAATTTCCAACCACTTCCGTTCAGTTCCGTGGATAATCGGCATAAATAGCTGACATCTAATTCGTATTCCGGAAAATCGTTGATGCAGCAAATTGCACAAAACTAAATCACCCGCGTTGTAGAGGTTCACCCATGTTTCTGAATGCGTGATCCTGATTTCTGTTTTGTCTGTTTTCAGCTCCCAGACTGGTACAGTCCCTTGTACTTCTCCGCCATCATCATGATGTACACCAACAGCGCTATCAATCCGGTTCTGTACGGTGGGCTTAATGAGAACTTCCGGAATGGATTTAGAGATCTCATTAACGCCATATTGAACCGGAAGTCTCACAGTCACAAGGCCTTGCTGAATGCACTCTGGACCAGCAACAGGTCACGTGTTGTTGTTGATGATCTCGGCACAAAACCACAAATAGACCATGTACAAGTGCCGGCGGTGGCAATGTCGTACATCAATCCGTCTGTTGATGTTTCCAAAGACGAGCCGTCAAAGACAGCGGATAGTGCTACATGTCAGTGTAGCATCAGATCGGGGACTTGAAGAGTCTTTTGTGTAACCTTTTACACCTGATGTGAGTAACACTGGAACTGACTTTCCTCAGGATGTCCACTTCAACTTGTCCACTTTGGGGCCGACGATTTAATTATCTGGGGTGTCTGAATGTTATTTTTTCAGCCAAAAATATTTAAATAGTTTTCAATTAAAAGACCGAACGAGTGTATTTGACAACAACTGAATAATTTTTCAGAATATAATATATGAACAGCGAACGATTAAATTTGATAAATTACCTGAGAAGAAATATGTATTTTCCTGCATTTTCAGAAATATGTGATATTTTTCAAACAAATACAACCGGCATCAGTTCCGCCAGATACAAAACGATCGGCCCCTTAGCACGATGAAATTCATAACCAAAATACTTATGTTTGTGAAAGTAATTAGACAGAACGTTTTGACAATAAAATCATGTATAACATTGATTTTCTATTTGTGATTTGATATAAAGTGTCTCCTGGATATACGAGTGTAGCCTTAAACAAAAAATAGCAGCTACTATATTTTTGATCACAGCATGTGTCTCCGGACTTAAGGAAAGAAAGGGATATAGTGAATTCAACATGGTTCACTGCTAATACCTCTATAGAAACATGGAACTCAGGCCTGGAAGAATGCTTTTTCAGAAGTTCTTAATGTGGTGAATTTTTTCGATTCTGAGGAACAGTCCCTGAATTAGAGCTTACTGTTTTACTTGATCGTGGTCAAAAACACAACCAAGCATGTTTACTCAGCAGACGCATCTATCGTTTTTTGTGTGCATCACATTAACCTTGCGATTGTGACCTTGACATACGACGAACATGGCATGGTCATCTTGACTGACTGACTGACTGAGTTTGGTTTTACGCCGCTTTTAGCACTATTCCAGCAACATCACGGCGGGGGACACCAGAAGTGGGCTTCACACAATGTACCCATGTGGGGATTCGAACCCGGGTCTTCTGCGTGACGAGCCAACGCTTTAACCACTAGGCTACCCAACCGCCCACGGTCATCTTGAATACATAAAAACATCATAAACTGAAGGGGCAAAAGAAACCGCTCAGTGGATTCTATCATATGTTTGATTTGCATCTGAACATATCTTGAAATATGAATCTGTCGTAAAGATTTAAAAATGGAAAGAATTGCATTGTACATAACTGTTGAACGGTATTTAACTCATATCTTACCTTTGAAAATACATTAACCTGCGCTTTCTGGCACACATTTACTGCATTAAACGCAGAGCTGGGTCATTTGGTGCAAAGTCATTTTCATTCCAGTCCTCATTAATCCACTTTATTTGTACACATCCAAATGGATCGATTAAATTTTTTAAACTGTCGCAGAAACGAAAGATAGTAAAAAGACATAATCGAATTTAACTGCAGTCCTTTCTATTGCATAAAAACTAACCCGGAATATAGTCTGCTACACCTCATTTTACACCTTCTTTGAATAAAAAGCCTGCCAGTTGGTCTTCAGCAACCCATGCTTGTAGTCAAAGGCGACATACAGGATCGGGTGGGTCAGGCACGCTGACTTGGTGGACACATGCTATCGCATCCCAAATGCCTACATCGATTCTCATGATGTTGATCACTGGATTGTCTGGTCTAGAAGCGAGTATTTGCAGACCGCTGCCATATAGCTGGAATATGGCTGGGTGCGGCGTTAAACACCCCACCCTCAAATATAACACAACAATAAAGCAAAACAAAACAAAACAAATAAACAAAAACAAAAACCCAACAAAAACACAAAACACAACCACCAACAAAAAACAAAATCTATAGTTCGGCACGATGTGCCATATTCAGAAGGCTTCTGGGTGAATCAGGTCCATGTGTAATGTCTATGGCGACCCCCACACGTTGCCACTAAGGACATCGAGTTCATCAGAGCACATGGTACAGCAAACTTGTTGATAAATCCAGGTGACAGATGTGGTGTCGCAGTGGCAACACTGTTCGAAATATACCCAGTTGTTCTTGGACCCTTACAACCCGCAGTCTGTTTTAAGCTGTAAACATAGTAAATGGATCATTGCACTGACATTGCTTTGTAACACTGGGTCCGGCTTCAAAGCACTCCGCTCGTTAACCAGTCATACTGACCGGAAACGCAAAGCGGAGAAAGAATTATGAGACCAGTTTATATGCACTCTACACAGTGCAGTAGGTATCGCATTACTTGCTGTTGATACATTTACTGCACTGCTGTACAGCTCGTAAATATTATTTCCGGTAGCCCATCTGCCTTGTCTCTTCGTTTCCCGATTTCACGAGGCCATTTCGTGACGACGTTGTGTTACTTGCCAAATGTGAGGAATATTGCAAGAGTACATGGATATCTGTTCTGCAGGCTTCAGCTAAAACGTTTGGGCCTACGGTTGTTTTTAAATCAGTGCAGACCACCCTCGGGGTATGTGAAAGGGATATTGTTCAAGTTTTACATGTCAACAATTTAATTTGTTATCTGATTATCACTCAAAACCGTGAAGATCCGGTTTATATATGTGGAACTGGTCTTCTGATACATGTCACCGTTTCTCGTTTATGTAGGTCGATGCTCATGTTGTCCAGCACATTATTTGCAGTTCTCGTCAAATAACAGGAACGTAGCTGAGTGCTGCTTTAAACAAAACAACAACAAACAAACAACAAAAACACCCCACAAAAAACCCACAAAAACAACAAACAACAACAAAAAGCAAAAAAAAACAAAAACAAAAAAACATCAAAAAGAAAATAACAGAAAAGAAAAACAAGCAAACAACAAAACAGAACAAAAACAAAACAAAAACAAACTAATAAACACATCTACTACTCAAAACAATCACCAACGGTTGTATTTTATACTCACATATATACTCTTATGAGACATTTGCCTTCTTAGATTAAAATCCTTCCCTTTACGGTGTATTATACGGGGTGTGAATGTAGATACGTATTGTAGAATGTGTGAAGAGTGGGTGACTGAAAATGTTATACATTTTTTGTTTGAGTGTATGCTTACAATGTAATTAGAGTCAGTTATGTTCCTGCAATTGTAGATATACCCTTGTAAATTGTTCTATACATGAAAAAAGCTCTTGCTCATAGATAAAAATGGTACAGCATCAGGTATTTAATTGAATTACTTTGTAACGTTTCTCCTATTCTACGAAAATATACTCTTTTTGTATGTATTGTACACGGGCCGATGGCCAACAAACCGAAATAAAAGAAGAATTGAATTGTTATGAAACAGCGTTATACATTGTACAATAAAGTTTCACCTGATATACCTTGTACCTGTGGAGTCAGTGACGGGCAGTGGAGTGCTCTATCTACACCTGTGCTACAACATTTTAGGCATCTCGAGTAGGGCTGAGAACAAATTAGAATGACCTGGAAAGCCTATTCTGAAATCATTTGATCGAAACTATTCTGGAATTTTCTAGGCATTCTCTTTGATATATAAGGTAAGCATGTTATTCTCATCACACATTAGATCTCGCATTGTGTGTGACGATCATTTTAAACCGTGCTTAGCCTATATTTGCAAGTTTGTTTACTGCTCTTGTATTATACCGACTCTGAATTTGTATTTTGATACCTTTGTACTGATTTTATATTGATTTGTGAACTTAATTTTAATCAATTTTAGAATACCATGGGTAATTACATCACATTTCTGGATTTTGTGTTGGGTTTTACACTTAGATCTCTTTCGGACTGATTCCTGGTTAAGAATGTTTATCTGCCAGTACCATACATCTAGATACATAATGGAACTCATTGCCAGTTTCCTGCGAATTACATACTGTACAGAATCTCTCGTTGTGAAGAATGTTTGACCAGCGAGCCTTTTTCGCTGGTTAGTAATTTGTGATTGGTTGTTCTAAAATACAATAAAGGTTCATAAATGCTGTCTGTAGGTTTTGCAGTAAGGTTGCTCGGTGTTATGAGTTTTACAGACTAAAGTGGACCAGACTTCTTGTAGGGATGTACTGTTGGTGTTACTGAAAAAAAGCCTTAACTTGACTACTGTCGAAAAAACTAACATTCTACTGCATTGTAGTTTATTAAAAAACATTCTTTTAAAGTCCAAAGTTTGACATTTGTATATGATGACAGGGTCTTTTGATTTGACATTTAGCTGGAAACAATTATTTCGGTAAATATTCCAAACAATGTTCATATATTTTTTTCTGAAATTGTTTTCGGAACCGTGCGGATGTAACTGACGCTAACCAAACTCTGGTATTTTCTACTCGCAGACGTTCATGCATCATCAAGTTGTCCAAATCAGTGTAAAATTCGTCTGTGTTTACTTTCAAATCTCATTATTACTTCATAAGTATTTTTTTGCTTGAAAAGGCTTCTGTTATTTTTAAATTTTTAGCAAAAGAAAGTGTACAATGTACGTCCATGTTTGGTGTTGGCTAAAATGAACAAAAAATAAATTGCAAATTGATTGTGATGTATTTGATACCAGTATCATATGCGATATTACTTGCGTTATTTCAATGAGCATCTCACAAGAGATGACGTCTTTGCTGTCGTCTTCTGCCCAATGATGTCAATTGTTACCATTCCTCTCTCAGTGCACGTTCCTGTTGTTGACGGTTCTGTAGTCGATGAGGACATTCCTGACGACCCAAGTCTGGCGAGAAACCTGGATATGGAATAACAGTGAAGTCGTGCGCAGCCAAGACAATGGTGGACGACCCTTACAGTGTGCGGTCTAGGCTTGTCTTACTTGTGTTCCCTGATGCTGTTGGCGAAGGAATGGTAACACCACGGATTGAAGAACGTCAAAGTTGTTGATAGCATGGCGCATCGATCATGTTGACGTTTGTTCATACCACCCCTCTCTTACCTACCCAGCCACAAAAAGCGTGTAAATCTTTTTCAAGACGGTCCTCATAATCACACCGTCAATCCACCTTTCAAAATAGCAGTATGTGTATTTACGCTCTTCAGAACTGAACACCTGGGAAATGTTGACGCCATAAGCTAGAGCTTTTGATACGTTGGTCGACCTGAAAGGGACATTTGCGACAGGAGGGGCGGTGGGGTAGCCTAGCGGTTAAAACGTCCGCTCGTCACGCTGAAGACCGGGGTTCGATTTCCCACATGGGTACAATGTGTGAAGCCCATTGCTGGTGTTCCGCGCCGTGATATTGATGGGATATTGCTAAAAGCGGCGTAAAACCATACTCACTCACACACAGGAAAATCGAAATCGCCCCAGCTAGAGGTTGTGATCATTTGAATATCTATGCACAGACCAAGACTGAACACAGAATATGGTTCCATGGTTGTTTCTTTGATTTCCAAATTTGTTGGTTACTTGAGGGGAAGAAATGCGGTCCCCAATACAACCAAACCCCGTCAGTTCTCAAATCTTGGCCCTTAGTATTATTTCTATTTTTCGGTGGTGTCCAACTTCG